GGTTGAGCTATAGGCGCCGAGCCGAGACTGTTTTTCAAAAAGCAAATAAAAATAAAAGAGCAACAAACACAACTGGATTTGCTGCTGGTTCTAGGAAAATCAAGAATAGTCCTTTTGTCACGCTGTTGTCTTGCCTTCCCCTGGCTCCCGGTCTGTTTCTCCCTTATACCTAGCTCAGGTCATTGCAAAGCTGGTAAACCTTATACCTTGAAGAAAACAGAGGCTCAGCGCCTGTGGCTCAAGTGGCTAGGGCCACCAGCCACATACACCTAAGGTGGCAGGTTGAAGCCAGCCCGGGCCTGCCAAAAACAACAATGACGGCTGCAACCAAAAAATAGCCAGGCGTTGTGACGGGGGCCTGTGGTCCCAGCTACTTGGGAGGCTGAGGCAGGAGACTCGCTTGAACCAAGGAGTTGGAGGTTGCTGTGAGCTATGATGCCACAGCACTCTACCTAGGGGGATAGCTTGAGGCTCTGTCTCAAAAAAAAAAAAGAAAGAAAGAAAGAAACCAGAGCAGGTACCAATCCCCCATCCCTGTCCTTTCTCAGAAGACTGAGGGAGTTATGAATCTGAAACACCAAATACAGGTAGGAACTGCTCTGACAACACCCATATGAATCTGAAATGTCAGGTGCAAACAGGACCTGCTCAAATATAACTGTCCTGAGCCGGTTACAAGCCTCACTTTGGCTTTCTTTCTGTTGCTGTTGTTAGTATGGTGCTAGCACAGGAAAATTCAGAATAAACCATCATTTAAAGAAAGGAAAGGGAGAAAAACGGCAATCAGGACTCTTGTAGATGCCTGGCAGCCATAAGCATCCACAAGTCAGTCTCTGATGGAAGGCAACTTCAAAGATTGGGAAAGGTTAGGGAGAAACAATGGGCTCTTTTAAAGGTTTGTATTAAGCTTAAGAAGGAAAAGTGAATGATTTAGCCTGGATGCAAGAACACGCAAAAGAGTAGTGATTTTTCTTTGAGTCTTAGATGGGTTATTTTGGGAAATGTGGCTGTTCCCTCTTTCCATTGCTAGTAGTCTGGGAAGGACTAGGTTTAAGTTACAGTGGGTGAGATGGAAGTTAAATAACCCATATTCAAGTGTTCTGAGTGTTGACAGTGTGTTGGTCACAGTGGATTAGCAGAAGGAAGAAGCATGCCAAAGACTGAGAAGTACAGACTCTGGGGCCAGCCAGCTTGGCTTTGAATCCTGGCTTTGGCACTTAGTAGCTTTGGGGCCTTGGGCAAATTTCTATACCTCTAAACCTCATCTGTAAAAGGGGAATGACATACCTGCCCCTTTGAGGGTTATTTTTAAGATTAAAAGAGTTAGTGGGCGGCACCTGTGGCTCAGTGAGTACAGCGCCGGCGCCATGTACCAGGGGTGGCAGATTCAAACCCGGCCCCAGCCAAACTGCAACAAAAAATAGCCGGGCATTGTTGTGGGCGCCTGTGGTCCCAGCTACTTGGGAGGCTGAGACCAGAGAATCACCTAAGCCCAAGAGCTGGAGGTTGCTGTGAGCTGTGATGCCACAGCACTGAACGAAGGGCAACAAAGTGAGACTCTGTCTCTTAAAAAAAGAACAGTATAGGTAAAGCACTTTGACCAGTGGCTGGCATATATTAAAAGGGTATGTGTGTGATAAAAAAATAAATGTTAATAACCAGGTGCTGTGGCATGTGTCTATTGTCCCAGCTACTTCAGAGGGGCTGAGGTGGGAGGATTGCTTGAGACCAGGAGTTCAGGGTCAGCCTGGGCAACATAGTGAGACCCCCATCTCTTAAAAAAATAGCATGAGCAACAGAAAGGATCTTAGGGTCATGTGTCCATTGCTTCATTTTACAGATAAGGAGGAAGACATAGGCAATAGAATCAGTATTAGAAGCCAGTAATCCTATAGACTTATAGTCCAGGACTTTTGCTACTACTATGCTCTAAACCCCACCACTGATTTCCTCAGAAAGTCCCAGTGGAGTGCATATGTACAAAATTACATTAACCATTGCTTCAGGAACCCCAGGGCCTAGCCTCTAAAAATCAGAGGTTAGATTGCAATCTCTTTCAACCTATACTCTGCCTTGTTTTTAGACTTGGGTCTCTCATACATATTCTTATTTCTGACTGAGTGCTGTCAACACTAAAACTACCAAAATAGTCTCTCTTTCTGATTAAGAGAATGAAAATTGAGGGTCATGTAATAGACCAAGGCTTTTGTAAGATATAGACCATGTAAGGGTTATCAGGGCTCTGGGAAAGATAGGGGTCACTGCCAGGATCCTAATACACTCAGAGAAAATAGGTCAGATGTCAAGACTTCCCATCTTGACCAGTGATTCTTTACCTCTAATCCCTCTAACTCTGATGACAGCTTCGGACTTCCCTCTCATCAGCCAAATGCATGACTCATACCAAAATATTTTCAGGTGGCTTCAAGGTTCATAAGCCTCTCTAGCTTCAAGAAACTCTGTACTTGGCAGCATAATAGGAGCACACTTTGGATCAGATGGCCTAGTTCAGATCCTCTACCACTTGTTAGCTATGCAACCTTGAACAAGTTAATGTCTTAGGCCTCAATTCCCTCAACTATAAAATGAGGATAAGAATAGTATTTAATTATAGAGTTGAGAATGAAATGAGTTAATGTATGTAATATTTCTAGTACACGGCTGACTGTACAGTAGTGTTCACTATTAGAGCTGTCCTTGCAGTTTAGCTTAGTTAATGTTCATAGACAGAATGAATGAATAATTCTAGTTGAGATGCCAAGCCTGTAGAGCATTATGGGGAAGATGAGTTAAATTAGGCTTTCTTCACCTGAAGGCCGAGAAGCACCTGATTGTTTTGAAAACTATGATTAAGCATACAGGTGCCATTTGTTCTTAAGTAATTGTCATTAGTTTTTAATTTGGAGCCCCTGTTATTCTGGCTACTACAAAAGGCCCCAAGGTTTTCCACCTGGGGGTCAAAGACGCCTCCTATGCCAGCTCACCTGCCCACACAAGCTGAAAGAAGGCACTTGTTCCCCGTGCCTGCGTTCTGACCTCTACAAGTTGAATAAAGGGCTTATTACAGCTACATTTAGCTCCTCAGTTCTTTTTTGGTTTGTCTGAATCCAGTGTGAACCTTCTTAGCCTCAACCATTGGCACTCTAAGTATCCTAACCATTGTGTTGCTGATAGGCTATAGTTATGCCCAGAAACTGATCCGCTTAACCCTCAGAGCTGCCAGAGCCACAGCAGCAACGTCTCTTATGTGACATTCAGATAACCTTGTTTCTGGGTGCCCTGACATGAAAACAGTTTGAGTAGCACCAACTGGGACCGTCAACTGGTATTAACTCATGAGAATCACATAGGCAGTCCAGATTCCAGGTCCAGGTGAGTGAGTGGCAAAGAGTAAATACTGAACAGCAGAGGCTGTGGGCTTCCTGCAGGCTTTGTTAAGTGTAGGAGTCTGCAGCTATATAGGCAGCACAGTGAATAGAGAGTCCTGCCAAGGGAACACTCCAGTGACTCCCACCTTGCACGTGAGGACCTGATGAGTCACTGTGAGAGGATTTGTGGAGAGCCCATGGTACAAGATGCTAACAAAACCATTGTGAACAAGAAATCAGCCCAGAGAGTGAGTGCTAGGGTGTGAGTGTCCAGTGGTATAGGAATTTATAACAGGATCCAGCTATGACTGCCAGGTGGGCTCTAAGGGTGAGAGGAGGCTTTTGAAGGGAAATGGTATATTTAGACTTGTGCTTTTTTAATTTTAAGGTTATCCAGACTGTTAGAAAATGAATTGAGGCCATGAGTGGTGGCCCATGCCTGTAATCCCAGCATGCTGGGATGCTGGGGTGGGTGGATTGCTTCAGCTCAGGAGTTCAAGACCAACCTGAGCAAGAGCAAGACTGCCTTCCTCCCACTAAAAACAGAAAAACTAGCCTGGCATTGTGGCAGGTGCCTCTAGTCCCAGCTACTCAGAAGGCTGAGGCAAGAGGATTGCTTGAGCCCAAGAATTTGAAGTTGCTGTGAGCTATGATGCCATGGTACTCTACCCAGGGTGACAAAGTTAGACTCTTGTCTCAAAAAAAAAAAAAAAAAAAAGAAGAAGAAATAAATTGGAAACAGGAGTTTAGACATATGTTAAGAGGCTCTTACAGTAATTGTGAGGTGAGAGATGATACTTGCCTAAAATAGGTACCTAGACTTTTAAGGAAAAGGAGGACTCAAGAGTGAGCCCTAGGGATTCTGGGTAGATAGAGATGTCATTTCTGCAATAGGAGAAGGGTGATACTGGAAGTAGAATAGCTCTGGGTGTTTGGGGGCACATTGTGAGCTGGGGACTGTGAGATGTCCCCTGAGGATGGTCAGCAAGACTAGTGGTGGTCAGTAAGACTAGAGATGCTAGAGTGGATTGTCAATAGTAGGATTGAATGCCTGCCTTCAGTGAGGCTCTCTCCTAAGAGAAGCAAAATTGAAAGTGAGTTTTGATCAGTGAGTTCATAGTTTACAACCAATTTGACAAGCGTGCTTCTCTTCTTCTGTGTTCAACTTTTAGAATTCTTAGATATGTATATTTTGAACCCTTTTCATAAAAACTAGCATAGTTTACTAGTATATATATTTTTTACATCTCTTTTTTTTTTTCTTGGCTAGCCTTATTAACTCCTTCCCTATATGTCATTGCAATAAATAGGAGGAAGCTGGGAAACTCATAAATCTGTCTGTTTTCTCAGATTTGTGACCTAGAACAAAATCTCTGACCTCAGCTGTGGCTCTTGGTGCTGGCCAGAAGTCAACTTCATGTCTCAATACATGAGTAGCAGTTTGCCATGGAGAGCCTGGGGCTGCAGACGGTGACCCTTAGTGATGGGACGATGGCCTACGTCCAGCAGGCTGTCAAAGGTGAGTATTTGGAAGAACCTCAGTATCCTTCCCTGTATCTCAACCTCTGGGAGTATCCCCTTTAGAGAGTCTCACTGCCACCCTGCCCTCAGCTCTACATAAGAATCTCCTGTGATGCTTGATGGAAAGAGAACTCTAAAATAAAATATCATCTAGGTAAGCTAGAAAGTCAAACTGTGGGAGCCAAGACCTCTCAAAGGCAGAATTCCTTACATGTAGTGAATAATTCACAAATACTTTTGCAGTGGATGAGCACATTGCTGGTTATAACTTCTTGCTTTTCAAATATTCCCCGTCCAGTTTCTTATGCTCTCTAGAAGCAGTTCATCATCCTAATTCAAGCAAATTTAAGCATTCAAACTGTCCCCTGAGCATCTACCTTGTATAAGATATTCTTTTAGGTTCAAAGGGAGAACACCCAAGCATACATCTTATGCCTTAGTCCAGCGGTTCTCAACCTATGGGTCGCGACCAACAGGATCTGTATTAAAGGGTCTCAGCATTAGGAAGATTCAGAACCACTGCCTTAGTCCATCCACACTAGGAGTTGCCAGAAATAAAAGGGCACAGTCTGGACTCAGAGGCTCATACTATAATCCTAGCACTCTGGGAGGCCGAGGCAGATCCATTGAGCTCAGGAGCTCAAGAGCAGCCTGAACAAAAGTAAGACCTCATCTTTACTAAAAATAACAAAAAAATTAGCCAGGCCTTGTGACGGGCGCTTGTAGTCCCAGTTACTCTGGAGGCTGAGGCAGGAGGATCACCTTAATCCAGAAGTTTGAGGTTGTTGTGAGCTAGGCTGATACCATGGCACTCTAGCCTGGGCAATAGAGTGAGCCTCTGTCTCAAATTTTAAAAAGGTATACAGAATTGCAGGTAAATAATGAATACTTTTGCAGTATGGGTATGTCCCAAATAATGCATGAGATAGATATGTATAAACATGGGATTAAATACTAAATAATACTATGTACTTAAAAAATTGTCATTTATCTGAAATTCAGATTTACCTGGGCATCCTGCATTTAATCTGGCAATCTTACCCCTATTCTCCTGGAACTTAAATCAAGGTAGATGTGGAGTCAAGAGAGAGTGTTGTTGAAAGCAAGAGCTGCAGGCCAGGGTCACTCTTTTCTTGCCAGCATCCCATTTAGTTGCCATGCTTCAGTCTTACACATGCCAGATGGCATTCATGTCTGCCTTGGACAGCACTAAACACTGCCTTGTTCCTACTCTTTGCTTGGCCTTTTCTGGACTGAGCATCACAGTTCTAATGACCATATTGTCATTGCAACATCACTTCCTTCATTTCAATATATTGTCAGGATGTTTCCATTCCTAAGTTTACAGATAAGTTGTTTACTGATTTCATTTTAAATTGTCTGTTTCCTGATGATGACTAAAGAGTCCCCTTAATCTCCTAGGTAAACTCTTTCCATATGCCAGTAGGTGAGGATGCCTCTGTAAAGATGTCTTGGCCTCATTCTCTTGAGAATGGAAATTCTCTACAATACTTTTGAAGCCTAAAACCCTATGTCTACAGACTTCCTGCACGGGTCTTGCCGCTCTAGTTCAGTCTCACCAGAGGTGCGGTGGGAAGAATTTAGGAACTCTAGGTAGGCCTGTGTTTACTCCTTAAACCCGTTTAGTTGCCACGCCTCAGTCTTCCACTGCAAACTAATGATTGAATGAATACATAAAAAGCAAGTGATTACACCTGGCCTGAGAAAGCTACTCTTATCATTTTTTTCTTATAGCTGGATCTCTTTGCCTCCCCTACCTCTCCCTTTATGACTTATCCCTCTTTCTGGCTCTGTTCTTTGCCTCCTCTGCAGTATTGCAGTGTGTACTTACACTCACGCCCAAATACACACACATTCATGACAGATTTCCCCCTGAGTTGTCCTTCAGAGACCAGGACCACGTTGTCCTGGTGAGTTTCTCTGAGGCTTTTGACTAAAGCACTTACATCTTTGTCAGCAGCAGCTCTGTATCTGGGCCTTACTTTGCCAGCAGGAAGCTCTAAAATTTTTTTATAGAGACTTATCTATAATTGGAATGAACATAAAATATTCAAACTCCACACTTTGAGAGTGGAAGAAAATGTTACTAATAAATTCACTGGGATGTGTGGTCACCTGTCTATAGTGGGTTACGTGCCTACAAGGCCCCCATCAGTCAGCTGTTCTCCGCACCTGATTCCGCACATTATGATCTCTAGTTGTTAGAGGAAATAGTGGGTTGAAATTTTTCCTCACTCTTCTCAACGTTTTGTTTCCTTTCTTGAAGCAACACCCACTCTTCTAGCAGTAGATCAGCTAATGCTTTCAGAACCCCAAGGACTGATGTCCTTGACAGGACAGATAAAATATTTAAAATGTGGGTAGCCTCATGCTTTCTGGGTAAAAGAGAAGAAAGTGGGTTCCTCCCCTTCATCTCAGCTGCCTTTCTTCTTATCTTTATTTCTACTTTACCTGCCTTCAGTTGGGTTGTAGGACTGTTAATGACTCAATTTGGAGATTCCCCTAAATATCAGCAGAGACCTGGGCCAGAAGTAGCTGCCTGGTCCTTTTCCCACATCATTAAAGCTCAAATTTCTATACCTGAAACTTCGAAAGATAAAGACACACAAATCACTTGTCATTAACTTTTTAATGTCCCTTTCTTATTTCCTTCCTTATCCCTTTCAGACTCACTGGACACAGGAAGGAGACATCTAAATTCTAATTCTGAGAGCTTTTTTTTTTTTTTTTGGTTGTAGTGGTCACTGTTTGGCAGGCCCAGGCTGGATTCGAACCCACCAGCTCTGGTGTATGTGGCTGGCACCTTAGCCACTTGAACTACAGACACCGATCCTGAGAGCCTTTTAGAAGTGCTTTCCAGTAAGATAAAAGAAGGATAATTTCCTAAGATATTTGGATTCTTGTTAATTTTTACACTGCTTGTTGTATTGCCTTAGATGAGTCAATTTTTTATTAGGAAGTTGAAAGGAAAATAAGAGCTCAGTGAAGGAAACATTACTCAACAGTGGCAATGAAACAAGACCTAGATGGATGCAGAATAGTCCACATAGCTCCAATTGCTCAATTTCTGCTAAAATACAGATTGTGGCCAGGTATGGAGCTCACACCTGTAATCACAGCATTTTGAGAAGCTTAGGAGGATCACTGAGGCCAGGAGTTCAAGACCAACCTGGGCAATATAGCAAGACCCCATCTCTAAAAAAAAAAAAAATTAATTTTTAAAAACTCAGCCAGTTATAGTAGTGCACATCTATAGTCCCAGCTACTTAGGAGGTTTGTTTTTTTTTTTAAGAGACAGAGTCTCACTTTGTCGCCTGTGGTAGAGTGCCGTGGTGTCACAGCTCACAGTAACCTCCAGCTCTTGGGCTTAGGCAATTCTCTTGCCTCAACCTCCCAAGTAGCCGGGACTACAGGTGCCTGCCACAATGCCTGGTTTTTTTGTTGCAGTTTGGCCAGGGCCAGGTTTGAACCCGCCATCCTCGATATATGGGGCTGGTGCCCTACTCACTGAGCCACAGGCACCGCCCATACTTGGGAGGTTTTTAATAAGCTAGATAAGCTGTCCAAAGGCACATACCTAGTAAGAGGTAGAGCTGGAATTCAAACTCATCATCATTGCTTCTAACCACTGTGCTATACTGCCTGCCTTTTCAGGGGCTCAAGATCTTGGCGTACTGCCACAGGGAGAAACAGGGGAGTGTATTTTGATTTTGTTAGTTTGAGTTATATCTGAATTTTGTCTCACTGGGCCTTTCCAGGTTTCAGGCAGCCTTTATTCTCTATTTAGTTCCATATAAATAGCTTACTGTTAGAAGTCTCTACTTTGCTGGGTGTGGGTAGAATAATAAATGAAATTGCTCCTTCTGTGAGTGGCTGGAAGGGAATCTATTGGAAGACGTGGCACTTCGCTGATGTCTTTGTCATCAGTGCCTTGAGGCCTAGGCCTCACAGATTACTGCCCAGAGATTCAAATAGGCCTCTGCTAAAAATAGGTGGGTGTTTCTTAGCCTTCTGGGCTGGGCCTCTTTCTCTCCATATCTATTTCACAGGAGAGAAGCTGCTTGAAGGCCAAGTGATCCAGCTTGAGGATGGAACCACTGCTTACATTCACCAAGTGACAGTACAAAAAGGTGAGGGCATCCTGATACATCCCTATCTTGAGGAGAGGAAGCTGGCAGCCCCCACTGAGGGACTCCTTTATGATAATGACCTCCAGAGAAAAACAGGCATTGTTTTCATTACAGAATCTCTCTCTTTTGAGGATGGACAGCCTGTGCAACTGGAAGATGGCAGCGTGGCCTACATACACCGCACACCCAAAGGTGGGACCACAGTCATCATACTGGTGGGGCAGGATGGTAGACAGAATTGGCAGAGGTTGGGGGATGGGGTGGCACACTGTGAAAGTTATGGTATAGACATGGGAGCTGTTGTCCCTAGGGTATACATTGGCTTACCTGGATTAGCTGCCTTGTCTACCTTCTCTGGTGCAGCCTATAGGTGTACCTGTTTCTCCCACGAGGAGGTGACTTTGGGGGTCAGTACCATGGGCCTTGATGGTGGCTTTGACTCCAGTACAGCCACAGAATCTTAGAGCTTTAAATAGGACTCAGGGGCTCGGCACCTGTAACTCAAGCGGCTAAGGCACCAGCCACATACACCTAAGGTGGCGGGTTCGAATCCCCAGCCCGGGCCCTCCAAACAACAATGATGGCTGCAACCAAAAAATGGCCAGGCGTTGT